TCTGGTGTGCTTGTCTTGTGTGTGTGTGTCTGGTGTGCTTGTCTTGTGTGTGTGTCTGGTGTGCTTGTGTGCCTGCATTTGTACGACAGTGTATATGTCCCTGACTGAGTGTGACTGGCAGTGAGTCCGAGTGTCTTTTTACGAGGGTGTGTGGAAATCTACAAAAGACACATTAGTCCGTTCTAACCAGTGTGTGGGATTTTTATTCAATGAAACTGAACCTCACTTCTCCTCCATCATCCCCGTATACAGGCATTACATCGCGGAGAGGACAATAGTGACCTATTCACTTGACGTATTTATTGTAGTCTGGTGTTAGTCGAGCGAAATCATGAATTTCCCTCATTTCGTATTCCAAGAGTCTTAATCCCAGCAATACTCGTGTAAAATAACACACCGCTCTTCAACTGCTTCCAGAAGCACGCATATTTAAGACTAGTTTTTCTATAGTCTTCTGGTCTATCCCAAGCATCTCACGACGCCTCGTCGTTGAGGATCGAAACGAGGGCACTGAAAAAACATGTTCAACGTCCTCGACAGCAGGTTCACACACAGGGCAGTATGGGATATGATTCAGTTTGAACCCGTGAAATTAGACTATGAAGAATCCATGACCCCTCAGAAACTTCGAGAGGTAATAATATATCTCCCTGTACTTCCGACTCGTTTACGATTAAACTGTAAGAATCGGTTCGGTAGGTCCACCTTCTCTTGGAGGAAGTGTCCCATCACTGGTACTATTCAGCTAGTCGTTCCAAGCAGTTTTACGTTAGGTCTTTTCGTCATAATACCTCTGCCGTTCACGGCCCATTATATCTGTGGAGACCATCCCGGCTATGACACAAACTGATTCGTTTCAGATGGTGCGAACCGCACAAGCAACCCTGAGCGCAGAGTCGACATATTGACATTATTCCTCTTATGCAACTCTTCATATATGTAGAGGTGGCCCAAACTGGTGAGCAGAACCTATATGACGACCGAAGCAAGCTGCTTTCTCTTTTTATGACTAAGTCCACCAGTGTTCGGAGTTAACCTAGTCAACACAGCATTCACCACTGCTGCTTTCTTAGTGGCAGAGCCCAAGTGGTCTCTACAGGACAAGCGCATGTCGATCATGATGCCGAGGTATTTGATAGGTGATTTTTTGTGATGAGTTTGAGTGATGGATTCTCTTCTTCCTGCTACTTATAAGTATCTCTTCAGTTTGTTTGGCAAGCTGCAATCCTGCGGAATCCAGGTAGCAACTGACAAAATCTTCATTGCAGATACATCCTATCGTCTCTAAATTCTGCGACGGCACGATAGCAATGTCGTCTGCGAAGCCTGTGAACTTGCTTTTGTCTGGGAGTGGGAGCCTAAGGATCTCGTCCAACATGATGTTCCACGGCTGTGGACACAGCACCGAACCTTGTGGGTCGCCGGCGGTGTTATGTTCCTTCAATTAGTCGTCAGTACTGAACACTACAATCCTGCGATTGAAATAATCAGCCACTACCTCAAGAACGTAGACACACTGATTTGGTGGAGTGCATTATGAATGTCACGCTATCTTGAGTTAAATGCATTCTTGATGTCTAACGTTACCACAGCACAGTACATATTTGGACCTCTTTTCCATCTGCCCCTCGGTCAGTGTCAACAAGCTTACATGCCGACAGTTGAGCGAGCCTTGCGAAGGCCATACAGGTTCTCTGAGAACGCCCCCTTTTCTACTGCATCTTCCAATCTTGAGCTAATGATATGCTCGAAAACCTCACCCGCAGTATCGCGCATGCACAGCGACCGGGTCTTCAGGTTGTTTCTTCCCCTTGGAAGAAGTACTAGTTGTTTCTTCCATCTCTCGGGATATTTCCCTTCTCTTAAACATTAATCGCAGAGATATGTGCAGATGTCGCAGTCTTGAGGGCGATGTGGAGGATACTATCCGGTCGTGGAGCGTTGGTATTGCCAAGTCTGCTAATTATGTGCAGTACCCAAATTGTTGAGCGCAGCGAACAGTTTCTCAATATGTTCACATATGATAAGCAGACTATGTGTGTGTATGTGTGCATGTTTTTTTGTGCGTGCGTGCATGTATTTGTGTGTGTGTGAGTGTGCATGTATTTGTGTGTGTGTGTGTGCATGTATTTGTGTGTGTGTGTGCGCATGTATTTGTGTGTGTGTGTGCGCATGTATTTGTGTGTGTGTGTGCACATGTATTTGTGTGTGTGCGCATGTATTTGTGTGTGTGCGCATGTATGTGTGTGTGTGTGTGTGCATGTATTTGTGTGCGTGTGTGCATGTATTTATGTGCGTGTGTGCATGTATTTATGTGCGTGTGTGCATGTATTTATGTGCGTGTGTGTGTGTGCCTACACTTATTAAGTTGTGTCCACGCTCATATGCGAGTGTGTACATACACAAAGTATTGCATTTCTATATTCAAAATGCTTCATGCAATTTTTCTTCCTGGAAAACTTTTATTCAGATTTTTCATGCTCTACTGTAAATGTTTGGTCTATGCAATAATATTTTATGCATTAAACTTACCTAAAACAGTTAATGTTGCATTAGCAATTATGGAACCAACTGCATTCCAAGCAGTACAACTGTATATTCCCATATCTACAGTTTTAATATCAATAATGAAGAATACATCATCATTATGCATCACATGCATTCTCCTTTCACGAGCTGCTGGGAAATCATTTCCCCCATCCTTTCGCCAAGATATCTGTGGCTGAGGTGAGCCACTTGCAGCACATTCCAATTTAGCTGTACTACCTGATTTTGCCGTAACATTAGCAGGAATTTTATCAAATGTTGGATAAACTGAAAATATAATAACAATGTTTAAACAAAATTAAAAAAGAAAAGGAAAGGTAAGTACTACTTGAATTTTATATTACAATTCTCTTACAGTTACAATTTGAATATTATGGCAACTTTAATTGATTTTCCCTCCCCTTTTCTGGGAACATATTTAAAAAATCCAGTTTCCATATGTTACAGACAAGGTGTTTTACTTTTTAACCCTTCAACATGGAGCCTAAATTGTGATAACTTTCCAACATAAGAGGAAACAGGGCTGTTATCAAGGTCACAGGTAACCAGGTAAGTCACCCTCTATAACCTATTATCTCTTTGCAGCAACACAATGCAGAATGAAAAATTCATGATGTCTAGGTATGGATTCCCAGAAATAGTGGTGAAAAGAAATTTCAGTCCTAAAATGTTATTTCATATAACAAATTTTTCGTATATGTAAATTAAATATATGTAATATTCATAAATTTCATATATGTAATATTAAATTGTATATATAATTAAAATGATACCAACCATAAACTGACAGTTTTGACTTAGCAGAATATGTTGTTCCATAATTGTTTGACACTACACACTGATATTTTCCAGCATCATTTTGAGTAATGTTTAATAATGTGAATTCAGAGCTTTGCTCTGTGCCTTTGCCATCAGAACTTCGAATGAATTGTTGTATATTAATAGGTTTTATATCTACATTGTCCTTCCTCCACTGAAAGGTCATAGGAACTTCTGCAGATGATGAAGCTTTACAATGAAGTGTCACGTTGTTTCCTCTTAAAGCTGTCTGAGTCAGAGGATGGACCATAATATTGGGTTTTGGAAACTCAACTGAAAATAACACAAAACCAAAATACATGAAATCCTTTAGTATTATATTACACAATACAATAAAAGTCTATTGGTGTCTATTAAATTCCCGAAACCTCAAACTAACAAATACATGGGATGGGATACATTAATAAGCATGAGCTGCCTAAAACAAGAGGGGAGGGGGATCTACATTTCTGTGTCCCCTTTCCCATTAAACTATTTAATTTTTATATGCCATATTTACTAGTATATAAATAAAACATACAACGAGAATGAAATTATAACTTGAATGATTTATTTAATCAATCAAATTGATTTGCTGTTGAACCATTTATATGGTTGTCAGTTAGCTCTGAAAGAATTTTTGCCAAATGCCATAAAAATTCCCTGAATAATCAGGTTAAAAAAAAGTAATTTCACGATTGAACACTTTTACAAAAATAAAATTTGCTAGTCTTTCCACTACATGGTCTCTTCCAAAATCTTCCAGGGGGGGGGATGAACAATAACAGGAAAAAAAAAAAAAGAACTATCACTAATATACTCATATGGATTGCTGTTCATAATTGACACTCTCTGTATCTTCCTAAATACTACCTGTTGCCCATACATGACATTCTCCAGAACCAGATTGAGCCACTTGACAATCAAAAAGAGTGTTGTGATGTTGAGTTGATAAAAACGGTTCCATGAAGAAAAATATTAATTTAAATCAAATTAAAACAACCCAAAATTATTAGTGTTTGTCGCTTATTCAAGAGTGAAGGGGCTGTTTAGTTTGGATTCAAACTGACAATATTTGAATGTTAAATAATGGAATAATTAAAATTTGCACAATGTTCTCAAGAAAATAGATTGTTTAATTGTTGATGTTCATCGAATCAAAAAAATTGAATTGTAAAAACTTGCAATAACAAGTAAAATTATAATTTCACAAGAATATAGGATGAATAATTATTACACATTGTCCATGAAACACAAATGTTCCATGGCTGTAATATATCAATACCCACTCTCTAAATGTGAAGGAATGAAAACGAGGTGGAGCAAAAACATTTTAATTTCCGGTTGGGCTTACTGACTTGCCAATCCAACCCTGGCTTTTACTTATTTATTTAATTTAATACAGCCATGACTTGTTAGGGCTGTGCCATATTAAAAAACTCTACTTCTATGAAAAGCCACTGAATGCTGAAAAGCCTGTGTTCTGTATTTGTTTAGGTATATATTAGTAATGATTGTCTCCTCAATGTTTCTTAGAGTGTAGAATTACTCGGATTAATAGATTAAAAATGCTCATATCCAAAAAGTTTGTACTGTTTTGTTAAGAATTCTTCTATTGTATATAAGTGACTGTCCTTTTATTATATTATTTTCAAAATGTAGGGATATTCATATTTAATACTAAGAATGATTGTAGTTTCTGTCCTCATGCATTACATACAAATCTGGGAGCACATGTGTTCACTTTCTGGACAACTGTATTTGTGAAGTTTAGAGGTCATAAGCATTATGTCATTAAAATAAGTCATTTAATACATATATGTTACAACCAGTTTGATAAATAAATAATCTAATCTAATTTTAAAAACTAGTTTCCTGTGTAAACTAATTCTTGAGTTTCAGATCCTAATTCAAAAGTCATGAATAATAATAATCTCATCAGAAACCACAAGCTGGATGTAACACATATCTACTATAATTAAATTTAGAGTAAGCATGAAGTTTTGAATGCAACCACTAAGATTTTAAAGTGACGGAGTCATTGAAATCATATGGTGCATTTGGGATTTAGTTTGTAGAACCGTTACTACTTTGTGGTCTAGCTACAGTCATGCAAAATATAATCTGCTTTTTCTTCATTCACATATAGAGCTAAATGTTGATGAAAGTAATAACAAAAAAACATTATGCAATCACAACACATGCATTGAGTGAATGAGCAATAAATGGATAATGAATTTCCTGATCACTTTGTAATATATCTGTTAAAGCACTGGCAATAAAGTAGTGGCTGTCTTGACAATAAAGTTGTGACTTAACTTCTCCCTTTGTAAAAGAATAAATAAATTCTTTAGAAATAAATAATATTTGTTGTAAATATCTAAGGTTATGTACTAATTGCACAAAAAATTATTAAAATTCAAACAGTATGAAATCTAAAACAGGAGTTAAAGGTGCAAGGAGTTAAATGTGCAAGACCCCGTACAAGACTCTTAACCTCAGATGAACCATGCAGATTATTTTAGATTCTTATAATTATTATATGCATTACTCTGAATTAACAGAAAAATGGTTAACATATACACATGGTAACTAAACTAAAAGATGTATAGGAAATGAAAACATACAAGTCATGTCAATAAATGTTAACTAATATAACAAGTGTACACATGTTATAACATACTTACCACATGTAAAATTGGATATTGGCACTTGCAAAATTGACATTCCTTTGAGCCAGTCAGGATATGAACAACTTGTTGTTATTGATTCGTAAGAAGATTCTTGCAGCCATACAGGAAACCACTTCAAATTGCAATCACATAGAAGACTAGTGGTATTAAGAAGCAACTCGGTTAATTGTGTCATAGGAGCAAAAACATTTTCTTGAATGGAAGTGATATTATTACTGCTTAAGTCTAAGGTTTTTAATTTTTCCAGACCAATAAAAGCTTTTTTATTGAGTGTCTTAATATGATTTGCAGCAAGACCAAATTTCATCAATTGGCCAAGACCCATAAAAACACCTGTCATGTCATCTATTGCCCATGATATTTTGTTGAATTTGAGTTCTCTGAAATCATAAAAGGAAAAAAGTCAGCCTATTCTTACAAGGTGCTTTGAAATAAAATTCATAAGCTCATCAGTACTCACAATACTTCCAACGCGGGGGTGTTATTAAATGCACCCTCAGCAATGTATTCAATTTGATTACTGTCCAAATGTAGAATTTTTAATGTGGCAAGATGCTGAAAAGTGTCCCTTTTAATTGCATTCAATTTGTTGTTGGATAAATCTCTGAAATAATCATTACCCAATTATTCAGAATGTCTATCCACACAGAACATAGCTAGAATTTCACATATATTACTTACAACTCTGTCAATTGTTTACAAAATTCCCAGGCATGTTGGTCAATACTTGTAATGCGATTATGACTTAATGTTAACTTGTTCAAAGAAACAAGTCCATATAACCAACTCTTGGTTATGTTGGTAATATTATTAAAGTCCAATTGCCTAAAAAATAAAAGTAAATAATAGCATAACTGTGCAATGAACATATGAGATTAACTTGTAAAATAAAAAGCATAAATAGGTTACTCACAGTATACTCAATCTCTGAAGACCCCACAATGCCCCATCCAGAAGTGTCGATATGGAATTACGTTGTAATCTTAATGTTTGAAGATTTTGTAAGCCAGAGAAAGACAAACCATCGATTTTTGAAAATTTGTTTTTGTTCAATTCTCTGCAAAAAATTAATATGCATTGTAAAAGTAAAGTGAAATTATTGTTACGTACTTTGATCATCAATGCCTTGCTTAATTATCTTCATGCTACATAAATATCACACTACAAGCAATAAAAAAGGTTTACATTTCTAAACACGCATGCCATTTTAGAAACCATTATAATGGTTTCTACAATATTATTTATATGCAATTTCACTACCTTTAAACTAATGAAGATAAACATATTTGGAAGTCACAGTTTTACATGGAAAGAATGAGCACTCATCAAATTTATTCATAATATATTGCAGAAAATTCCAGAATATTAGTGCAATGAAGTAACCTACACCACACAGGCAAAATATGCATTTATGCCTATCTTAAAGCTGGTAGTTTCCTCAGAAATGCCTCTAATGACAAACATGTACCTATTTCAATCAATCACAATGAGCAAACTAAAACTGAAATTTTGACAATCAAATACTATTCAGACTTATCAAATAGCAATCTTCAATGACGACTCTGCTTTCAAAAATTACTTGTTATAAGATTCACAGTATACAGTCAACATACGAAACGTTTACTCGTTCCAATAAAAACAACTGGGCTGGAAAAATAAAGAAAGAAAAAACATTGAAAACTAATACCAATCAGGATGGATATGTAACAGTGTTGCAATTTCCACTGATTTAGGAAAATAAACAAATTGGGTTTTAAAGCAGGCATCCAAAGCTCAACAAAAACATTTCCTAGAACTGTTGTTAACAGTATAACAGGAAAAAGAATGTCAGGTTTTAATGGAAGCAAAATGTGTTGTTATAGCTTCTTAACAAACAAAATTGAAAGGTGCCATTTCCATCAAACACACTTCAAATGTACAAGATTAAAAACTATGCCCTGTTTTGTGCATTAAAATCACTTTTTAAAATAGTACAGTATTTTTTCAACAAATTTCAAGACATTTAACATGCCTTGAGGTTCATTATGATTAATAAGAATTACAATGTATTTCTCTCAAGTAATTGCCCTGCAAAATGCCTTGAATTACTTCAGAGCTCACTGGCGTATTTCTGCATTTCTTCTCACACAGTGAAGCCTCCATTATCAAGGAATTTTATCAACTGGAGTCTTCACTATGAAAAATGAAGGAATTGAAACGTGAACACAAGTGACATGACCCTCACCCGCAACTTCAAGATGATTGATCAATTAATCAATTGATTTGAGGGGAAAATTGAATTGATCAGAGAATTTAGAAAAAATCTATATTACTAATTTACAATACACACAGAAACTGAAAGAAAAAAATGCTGCCTTTGGCCATGTGAGAGGTGTGTATTATATTCATTAGAAACCAAAGAACTGGGAAAAACAATCAAATAGCATTTTTCAAATAAAAGCTAAGCTAACAATTGGCGTGTTCTGCCTAATCTCTTTCTGTAGGTACCAATTCAATTCTCATATTCAGTGCAACAGTGCTTATGACACAGTCGACATTGTGTAACAGCAAGGCTCAAAGGGCAAAGGAAGAGATTTCACAATTAAATTTTAGAAGAATAGAAATAGTGCAACAGAAGCGCAATACCCAAATTAGAATCCCTCCATTATCTTATAAAGGCATTTATAGAAATTCGGACTAACAGGGAATCTAATATCATTTCTGGCTTCAGAAAGGCAGGGATTATCCCTTTCTGCTCACATTTCTCCCAGATCACAGAAGACAAAAAATATGATTCACAGCAACATGAAAGGTCATGGACTTAAATCTTTTGTAGATCACTTGATAAAAGCCTAAACAAATACTAAACATTTAAAACTCTTATAACTCGTATGAATTTGGCGCCAGGTAAAGAAGTGGTCATCGGTGATCTATTACAGAGAAATTACTATTCAGATACACACATTATTACAGCCAAAGAACAGCATGCAGAAAGTAGTATCTATAACGACTATGATAGTTTTGATGAAGCTATAGAAGATAGAAAGGGAAGTAAAGATGAAGAATTTGATGAAGGCAGGAAAATTCAATAAAGAATGAATTCAGGAAAATGTGTTATAGTGAGATTTCCAACAAAGAAAAGTAACAAACGATTTATTAGTAGAATAAAGAAAGATATGTGAAACAAACGTTTTTAAGGAAAAAAGATAATGAGAAACACATTTGGTGAATTTTTGTACAGGTTCACTAACTTATTTAATATTTCCATTATGAGAGAGTGATTGTAGACAAAGTAATCAACTTATGAAGTGTGGTACTCTAAACATATAGGGTATTTATAAAAAAAATTTAAAAATGTTGTAGGATATGAGATTGGAATTGTAAAAAACATTTACCACCTCAATTCTGATATTATACTTGTGATAAATAAATAAATAATTTGTCAACACTGAGCCTCTAATATTTTATTCTGTACTTTCTTATCAATCCAAGTATATTGGATGGATATGAGAATAATCACTTTCTCTTAGTTCGTTGACTGATGTTTTTGGGCACGCCAACTGATTTGGTAATTAATTCCATTACCACAGGGAACAATTTTTATGCTTGGAGTTTGTAGCGTTTCTCCCTCACTGGATGGGGAGACCCGGTACTGACCTACATGCTACCGGCTAGAGGGGAAATTCCTGCTACAGAAATCTCACTCAGAGGGGCACCACCCCCACCAGCTCCCAAATGATAAGTCTTCTGGCATGTGTACAGTGATATGTGCACTGTTTGTAGGGTAGTGCATGGAAGAGTAAATGTAAGTAAGGGCAGAGGTTAGAACAAGGAAGAGGAAAGAAAGATCATGTGCAAACTGTGGTTCCATTTGAGAGGGTATGCTTTGATATTTGCCTGGTATTGATAAGAGAATTCAATTAGAACAGTCAGCCACTAGAATTCTCCTCCAGACAGCAGCTGAAATCAACCCAGCTATAAAAGAAGCGTTGAAAATTGCCACTGTTATGACTCAAACTGTAAGATGACATGGCCAGTCACTGCAAAGGTAGTGGAAATACTAGCTCCAAGTTTAACTCAACTGTTTTTTCTTATTTTTCTATTGCTAGGTTGTCATTCAGATAGTAATAACAAGAACAATGACCATTTCACGCCTCTTTCACATAAAAGGTAATTTTCTTCAGGCCATGAGGAAGATTTCATAGTGTTTGGAAGTTGTCTTCAGCGTTTAACCAATTTCATTATTGTGAAAAATCTTTCTAAAATATTTTTTCCCATCCAAATGCTGTTGTATGAAATGTTATACTGTTGTAAATTATAACTTGCTCACCAGCCTCATCGCTATGATCTTTCCCAGTTAGAATCAGTAGTCATTAAAGACTAACCTACCTTAAGCATCTTTTACTGTCTAAGACATTCATGCCTAGAGACTTTAAAAGATTAAGTGATACAGACAGAAGTTACATTTTTTTTGCGTAAAAATGTAAGTAACAAGTTCACAGACAGGAAAATTACTTAAGAACAGAACTATACTTTAACATTTACTTACAAATGCAACCTTTTACTTACAAAGTTTCCAAAAACTGAAGATTTTTAAATACATCCTTTGTCAGATTTCCAATTTGATTGCGATTTAATTTTAAATCAACAAGTTTCTCAAATTTGTCCAGGCTGCCTTTATCTAAATTTGATATTTGGTTACCATTGAGATTCCTAGAAAAAAAAAAAAATATTATTTTACACTGTGAATTTATTATTAAAAATTAGAAAACTTTTCTGCTAGTAAAAAATAAAGAACAGATATCTCAAACTTATGATCTATTTCTAACAAAATTAACAAAGCAGCAAAATATGTGTCTGTGCAAGAAATTAAATATACTGACACAGTGATACTGCTTACATAGTGATTCATCATAAATCAACATGAAAAATTAAAAGTTTATTGAAGTAATGTAATTTAATGCTTTGAAATAAATTAAAAATTAATATTGAAGTTATCTATACAGGAAAATGTGAAATGGTAAGTTTATGCCTAATAATTAAAACTCAAATATCTCTCTAATAACATGAACTAAATGTTCTTCTTTGACACAAAGTGTCTTTTATGCTCTTTATCTCTTCACATTAACTTCATATTGACACATTAAATGAAATTGAGTTCAACTACTCTAATTACATTCACTTTCCTATATAGTAAGTTGTCTTTCCTAAACACAAGAACTTATTTTATTATTTGCTACTTGTGTCAAAGTAGTCATCGTTTGTTTACCATGCGAACCACATCTCTCTCTTCTAGACCACATCTTTGGGACAACATTAAAATGACATCTATAATTAAGAATATTAATCGACAAATACTTTTAAGACACAAAGTGTACAATATCTAAATTTGGTTCTTTAACCATGAAAATTTTGAATGTGAAATTACTCGAGAATATTTATGAGTAGTTTTCATTTTCTGATCTGTCAGTTCTGTACTGATGGAACTAACTGGGATTAGAAACAATTCACGATACTTATGTCATCGTCATCGTTGTCATCATCATCATCATCATCATCATCATCATCATCATCATAATAATAATAATAATAATAATAGTAATAATAAGTTTGTAATTTAAGTTTATATAAATTTATAATAGTTTTCATATTCTTTTATTTCTTGGTTGACTACAAAGCTTGTAAAATTTTGTAAAAAAATCAGCTCTCTTGGAGAAATGTGAAAACACTCAGCACATGCATCGGTGTTATCTAAAACACTGTGGCATCGATGTCAATATCCAGAAATGTTTCCGTCATGAACTACTTTATTTCAGTTACTACTTAGGGTTAGCTCTCAAAAACCTTATTCTGCAGTACACCCAAGAGAGACCAATTGGCATCAGGTCCAGTGAATACGGCAACCAGACAATGCTACCTCATTGTGTTAGTGGGAAAGTAAGGATGTACCCATGCTTTCTCAGCAGCACCATTTTCTAATTTTTCTCCACAAATATCTTCCTTTGTTATTTAAGATTCCCCATCATTTACAATAACTATACAACATCAAGACTAATAAGGTGTATTTATGAATTTCTATATTCTTCCTTTCGGTTGTCTAAATTTAAACTTGAACACTACCATACAATCGTACTACTATGTACATGGTATACAACTATTGACCATGCATGTTTAAAAGACAATGATGTTAACTCACAACGCCTTTCAATCTATAACAATCTTGCTGAAACCATTAAGTTTATCCAAAGAGCTGACTGAAAGTGTCAACATCTCTTAAGCATGCTTGAACTATAGTTGTATAGGGTGGCAAAATGTAATAGATACACTTTTATGGTACCCGTATATTACAACACTCTAAATGACACAATAAATATAATTTTCAAAAACTTTTTCATTGCCAATTCTAATAGTTTGTGTTAATATTTCCAATACTACTTAAAAAGTAGAATTCATTCAGACTTCACATATCATTATCTTCATAACACCACCTTTCACAACTGTCAGTGAAATTCTGTGTGATTAATTAAGCACTAAACAAAGTGATTTAGAATCTAATTCTCTCTCATCCACAATATAGTTTCTAGTAGTTTTCTACATAAAACTAAATCTACAAAATCTTTAAAACATCTGAAAATAATTTGGTGCTTATATAAACAACAAACAGAATCACCAGTCACCCATCATATATTCTTGTAGTACATTTCATGATATTTAAATGAACATTCTGTACAAATCTGAAAAAATTTAACACAACAAATGTTAAGTAGAGAAATATGAAAGGAAACTTAACAATATTAGAAAAGTTGACACTTGTCAGAAAATTTGACACTGTCAGAAAATTTGATACAGTCAGAAAATTTGACACTGTCACAAAATTTGACACCACAGCATTCAAGGTAAACAAGGTAATTCAAAACCAACTTACAAGTTTTCAGTCTGAGCAGGAATATCTTTTGGAATCTCTGGAAGATCCTTCTTGCTGCAGTCAACAAGCTTTCCCAAACAGGAACACGAAGATGAGCATTCCAATAAACTTTCGGTTAAAGCTAATATATGCAAACTACACAAAGTGAACCTCAGCAAAGTGGGGTTTGCCATTATGGACAACCCCCACCTCACTCACACACATTCAGGATATTTACAATTAAAAAGATTTTACGATTTTCACATCCTAAATGTCAAATTTCAATCAAAGGACTTTCAATATTCAATACATCAAAACCTCTACTCGACAATCATCTCAGAACGTCATTGATAGTAACATCACAACGAAACCAGCCACAGGATTCCAATGATCGTAAATACACCACAGAGGAGGTTATAACAATTTATACGTTCTACACTTTCAATTTCCTTCCCTAATCCTCAACTTCCTCAACAATTAGTAGAAGTCCGCTGATCCCTTCACATCCAGCCAATAACAAAGATGTCCCAGATATAACATTTGTCAATGCATACGGTCAAAGATATTGTAGCAGTCCTGCACATAAATACACATTGACTTCGGCCGTAATCAATGTTGCCAACGCACATGCATATCACGACTACAGATAGAATGCATATATAATAGAAATAAGAATAATGTAAGCTATGCATTGAATTTATTAGCGTTTTAAAACACACACTAACACTCTGTGCTGTGTTCTATATTATTAATTGACATTTCTTTTACCTGCTTACTAGCGTACTAGTGGTTTCTCTTTACAAAACCGGTATGGAAATATAGAACAAGTCAAAGAGTTTAATGCCCTACAGATGTTTGCAAAACAGGGTTATTTCATTGTAAATGTCATTTTATTTCGTATTAAATACGAAATATTTAATGACAAAGATGTAAAAAAATGCTGGATGCTAAAATAAGCCCATATTTCGATAAATGATAGCAACTCGCAGACGCGTTAGTGCGTGTTCCAATTGCGTATAAATAATGAATAAATGCGAAAATCATTCACAAATCTTCATCTTTCTAAAAATGAGTAGATATCTTGATGAGACTGGGAGTTTACGGTTATTTAGCAATTATATAATGAATGAGTTGTACTCCACAATTTCGCTCTGTTCGTAAACCAATTGAACGTTTTGCTTTATTAAATGACACCGATTCACGTGTTCCATTTGAAATCAGATTAAATGAAAATTTGAAGTCCCCAGAACTTTTTATAATGTAATACAGAATAAGACCCAAAGATTGTTTTAAAAATAATTTTCCATGTTATATTTTCAAAATTTAATATAATATGAGGAATTGTTAACGAATGATCCTTTGTGAAGTTTCGCGGAGATTGAAACACCTAGGTGGCACCGAATATAAGAAATGAATTTTGCTAAGTTCTCCTAAGAATCCTAATATTTGTAAAAAATATTTGTAAAAAAAACAATAGTGTTTTAAGTTGTAGATAGAATGTATATGCCCTACTTGTAAAAATACACAGCTCAGGGTAAGAGATAACAACTCCACTACAGACTTAATTCATTAATTTCTACGGCGTCGCTACCGCTGCTGTTACAAATTATAATTATTTAATCAAATAATCATTGTAAAGGATAACAGGCATGGAGTAAAATTCTAATGAAGGTAATGCATTTTTTGAATTTGGTAAAAAGTATCTTCATGTTACTCAACACCAGACAATTTGTTACTTCTACTTCATATTTCATCACAAAGACATATTTCATCTCAAACCATTGTAGAAAATGATATCCTCTAACTCAGTTCCAATAATGTACTTCATGTATAGTATTTACTGTTCAATATATTTCAATCGTACTGAATACAGATTGATGTCAATAGGTGCACTGTAATTGGATTAGATAATTCTTTTCTTTCAACGTATCTAATCTAAGTATTTACAAGAAAAGACGTAGGACGAATTGTAATACAACTGCACATTGGTGTTCGTACATGAGGAGGAGGAAAGGGCGTTGCCGCCCCCCCCCCCCGGAAATTTCGAGAGG